TTTTTTTTTTTTTTGGGTAAACAAGCAAGCCCACGTATTTCTTAACACTATCTATTTGTAGTGTGCAATCTTGGACATATTCCAAATCTTCATATATTTCCAAGCAAAACAAATATCAGACCATAGATAATCATCTTGACTGATAACATAGCCGGCGCCGGTTTCATCAGATTTTCCGTTAATGGGAGTTTTCACGTTCGCCGGACTCCACACCCCTTTCATCCCCGCTCATGATTCCTTCAACCGTCAATCATTTCCTTCCATTCTCACTTCGTACAAAGCCCATCGCCATGATTATCGAATTAATCGAACCGTCCGTTCCTCGGTCGCGGAAGGCGGTCCTGTCTCCACTTCCACTTCTCCGGGAAACGATGAGCATCGTACAATGTTGGATTGCGTGATCGTCGGAGCTGGAATCAGCGGCCTCTGTATAGCGCAGGCCCTAGCCACAAAGCACCGCACCTCTAATGTCGTGGTAACGGAGGCCAGAGAGCGCGTGGGTGGAAACATCACCACCGTCGAAAGGGATGGTTATCTCTGGGAAGAAGGTCCGAATAGCTTCCAGCCCTCTGATCCCATGCTCACCATGGCGGTATGTAATTCTTCAGTGTTCTTTTTACATATATATGTGTGTGTTTCAAATCAATCAAGGGTTGTTTTTGAAGTTACTTATTGAAAACTCTAAGATGGCAGGTGGACAGTGGGTTGAAAGATGAGTTAGTGTTGGGAGACCCCAATGCGCCTCGTTTTGTGTTGTGGAATGGCAAGCTGAGGCCAGTGCCCTCCAAGCCTACTGACTTGCCATTCTTTGACTTGATGAGCTTTCCTGGGAAACTCAGAGCCGGTTTTGGGGCGATCGGTCTGCGACCGCCCCCTCCGGTTTGTATCCTTCTCCATCCTTTTCTTTACCCCCAGTTTGTTGATTCTTCAATGTATTCTATCACATTCCTTCTCATATTTGAAGTTTTGTCGAAGGTAACAGGGTCATGAGGAATCAGTTGAAGAGTTCGTGAGGCGCAACCTTGGCGATGAAGTCTTTGAACGGCTGATAGAGCCATTTTGCTCTGGTAATCCCTTCTCCGTCACCTTAACTTTTACTATGGCATGCTTTGCCTTTGACGCAAACAAGCAAGTCTAGAGTTGCTGAGCTTTGAACTACTTATGTGTTTGATTCTAGATGTTTTATGAAATGTTGTCTTAGTAGCAGGACTATTTACTCGACTTCTACTTGGTGATTGGTTTATATGATTCATTATGAAAAAACATGCATTCTGTTGGTGAGTCTGAAAATGTTATCTAATAAGATTTGAGAAATAAGCTCAGATCAGTGTGTTGCTATTCTTATTATTACTATCTCCAATGGCTCAGTCCTTACATTTTATAAGAGTATGTTGCAGTGTTTATTATTATCTTATATTTGAAACAAGTCATTATCATTTATTTATTTATTTATGTTTTAGGTGTTTATGCTGGGGATCCATCGAAATTGAGCATGAAAGCGGCATTTGGGAAAGTATGGAAGCTGGAGCAAACTGGTGGTAGCATCATTGGCGGAACGTTCAAAGCAATCCAGGAGAAATCTAAAAGTCCTAAGGAATCTCGAGATCCGTAAATACATGCTTAAAAAAGGCCTTAGCTTGTGTTTGTTTCTGTTGATTGTGTATGGCTAGCCAGAAATCTGATTGAGTACAATTGTAGGCGCTTACCTAAACCACAAGGGCAAACAGTTGGATCATTCAGAAAAGGCCTGTCAATGTTACCTAATGCAATTTCCTCAAGGTACTTATGATTTAGGCATTAAAATGTGTTTCTATGAAACACCTATCTAAAAGTCCTTGTTTTACATTACATTCACAATAAAAAAGAAATGTTTGGTATGACTAGTCCTTGCTCATTATAAAGTTGAATTTTAAATTGAAAGAAGTTACTGAAAGCTAACATAGCAAGCATATGCCAGATAACAATAAAGGTATCAATGTTGCTGATAACCCATACACTAATGTCATGATAACTATGCATATAAAATCCTCTATGGAGAGGAAGGAAGTACAGTGGTAGAGAACTTACTAGTTTGTGTTTATACATGGGAACCTTATTTGTAGCTTAGGAGAAAAAGTGAAGTTGTCATGGAGACTTGTCACTATTGCTGCACTTGATGATGGAGGATATTCCTTAACGTATGAAACCCCAAAGGGATTAGCATCTCTGAAGAGTAGGTGTGTGGTGATGACTGTTCCCTCCTATGTGGCAAGTGGAATATTACGTCCACTTTCGGTATGTTTTATTTGTATGCTCTTTTCGACCTTCTGTCCAACTTCTATGTAAAGCAATATATTAACTTGGTCATGGTACTTCTGGTGTTGGAATAAAGTGAGGGTTGTATTACAAAATCTGAGTAACTTCTGGATAACATATGATCTCGAAATCTGAACATAATATATATAATATATTATATATATATATATATACATATATAGGATGTGGTTCAAATGAGAACCAAGTCTTGGCGTGAGAACCGCGAGAACCGTTATTTTTAATTGTAAGTAGTGCTATGGTTGATTATGTTTTAGTGCTATTTTTAACATGAGTGTATTTTATTAAAAATAGCAACACAATTTATGTTACCATTTTTGAAAATGATAGTACCTTGTGATATTAAAAATAACATCATACACAATTAAAAATAACATCAACTATGGTTCTTACGGTCCGGAATAGTTTTTATTTGAACCAACCCTATATGTATATATATATATATATATATATATATTCCGATCTGGCACTTTCATGATTCATCATAAGAAGGAAACATAAGAAGGAAACATGACTGGTCATTATTGTTCCTCTATTATCTATTTTGCTAGCTCTTTCATGAAAGGACTATATTTACGCTTGGTTTTGGCAAGTGATAAAACTAATGACAATTGTGAACCTGGAAAATTAGATTTTGATTGAAATAATGGGATTTCTAAGATGTAAAACCGTGAGAAAGACAATAAATTCAAAACAATATCATCTATATTCCTGCAAAATGTGTACATCAACAGTAGTTTTAAATATGAAAATAAATAACTGCTGAGTGTAATTTCATTGCACACTACCCGAAAAGAATGTACAAAAATGATGAAATAAAACTTCCAACGTGTTCATTTTCTACCTTTGTAAATTTTTGCAGGATGCGGCTGCAGATGCATTGTTAAAATTTTATTACCCACCTGTTGCTGCTGTCACCATATCATATCCTAAACAAGCAATTCGTGAAGAATGTCTGATTGATGGTGAACTAAAGGGGTTCGGGCAGTTGCATCCTCGTTCCCAAGGAGTGGAAACTTTAGGTAGATTGGCTGTGATTAGTTTATATATTGGAATTTTGATCTTTCAGTTATTCAAAGACCCGTTAGAATTTTCTAAGTTTGCTATTATGCTTGATATTAGTTTTAAGTCCCACAAAATGAGATTCTGTGGGAGTACTCTATTTGCGGGTTGATTGCACTGTAGAAGCTCTCTATAAAAGGTCTGCCTCTTTATGATCTCATTTCATCCTGCAGGAACTATATACAGCTCATCACTGTTTCCTAACCGTGCTCCACCCGGAAGGGTTCTTCTCTTAAACTACATTGGTGGAGCTACCAATTCAGGAATTACAACGAAGGTACAAATTGTTAGGCAGATTGCCCACTTGGTTTAGTTTCCAGCAAGCTCACTTACTTATATTGGTAGTTAGCTGTGTTAATTTTTTGGCCATGTTGTTATTCAGTTTGCATATTGACAGCACCTATTTTTATCGTTTGGTAATAGACGGATGGTGAGCTTGTGGAATCGGTGGACCGTGACCTTAGGAAGATGCTTATAAACCGTAATGCAACAGATCCGCTTGTCCTAGGAGTGCGTGTGTGGCCACAAGCTATTCCACAATTTTTGGTGGGCCACCTGGATGTGTTGGATGACGCCCGAACTGCTCTGAGAAAACGTGGGGTTAAGGGTGTCTTTCTTGGGAGCAATTATGTCTCGGGCGTAGCATTAGGCAGATGCGTGGAGGGTGCATATGATGTTGCAGCAGATGTGAAAGATTACTTGTCGCAGTTTACGTGTAGATGACTTTTCTGGTTCATTTGTTGTTTATTACTGGCTTTTGCTAGTGATTTGTAGGAACTGTAGTTGTAGTGGAAGGGGATGAGCCTAGGCTTCCCTTGGAAGAATGCATAAACATCACGCTCTCTTTTCTTGACGGGATTTTGGTTTCTGTCTAACTTGTTCATAGATGGTTGGCATATGTATGAAAGTAGTTTTTCCAGGTTGATAGTTTGGTTTTATTATTATTACTAGTACAAGCACCCGTGTTGCTTGTTAAAAAATTATTCTTAAATTTTAAATTAATGAAAAAAAGAGGAAATTGCAAATTTGGTCCCGTTAAATTGAGACGGTTTTACTTTTAGTTCCAAGAGGCACATTTTTAGTCCTTAACTAATGTTTATTTCGCATTTGGTCCTAAATTCAGTCCTTAATTAATTTTTGTTCCGCATTTGGTCCCAAAATTTAACGGACCGTGAAGTCACCGTTAACCCTCAGGACTAAAATTGCGACTGTGGGACTAAAATTGGACCTTCCCAATTTAACGGGAACAAATTTGTAATAATTGATATTATTTTCATTTTTGTTTTTATTTTTTAAATTTTATTAAACTCTATAGTTATAT